GCGACCACGATTCCACGCGGAAGCGTCGCGACGCTAACGCGCCAAACGACCACGAGGACGGAGACGCGCGCGTCCTACACCCCGTCATCACGGACTCTGTTCCGACCGGGGTACGTCGCCGTTGGAGGCTCTCCTTGAGTTATTTCATATAGCACAATGCCGTGCGACAGCTGATCGCTCGATGCTCCGCTCTAATTGATTTAATTCGACGACCAGTCGGCCGGAGATTCTTGTTCGCTTATCTGTAGAACGCGAGTCCACTTGAAGCTAAAAATATAGTCATAGAACAAAGAATCGTCGATTCTTCTCTTTGAAAATTTATTGAATTTTTTAATTCAATGCGATATATTCATTGTTGTAATTTGATATTAATCATTTTGATAAAAAGTAGTCTAAATCTATCCTCAGAGAATAATGGTACTGAACATAATGTTTGTTGCATAGATAAATTTACTCAAGCAGATATGTTGGTCATTGCAGTGTGCAACGGTTGATGATGATTTGGTCAATGCATTCATAAGAGGATTAAAATTGGGAGTTACTATGGATCGGTGTAGCCCACCTCAAATAAGCACCGAAGCACTTATCAATTCATATACCTCTATGACAGTCGTAGACAGCACATCGCGACATGGGAAAGAAGCCTGCTCATGTGATGCTTACAAAGTTAAAAGGTAAAGACAGCAATTGTGAGAAATTTATCGAGACTTGGGAATAAATAATTGAAAGGTATTAATCAAATGTTTCTTTGATATGTGTACAGAGATATGTTTAGGGAAGAGTTGCAGAAAGCTATGAAGTTCCAAAACTTATGGACCGAACTGCGAAAATGTATACGTACTACCTTTAATGCCACCTTGGAAATACCTTATGCATCAAATCCTCCAGAGTCCCAATATAGATTATCTTTGACTGATATGCACGATACTGTTATTCAGTAAGAAATCATTTATGTTTATTTATTTATGCTATAATGCTATTTAACAGATTCATATGTGATACTAACTCTTGTTACAGATTATGTAAAAGGGATCCTCTCCAACTTTTTATGAGGCTAGTGAGTCAGGCGCAAGAATTTGTAGTGGAAGTAAAAGTTCGTTTATTAGCACTTTTACATGATCGTAGCATACGCAATTTAGCAGAAATTTTTCTCACAGGTTAGTGTCATTTTGTGAATAAAAGTTGCAAAAAGTATATGGTATATGCAATATACATACATATATAAAAATATATATAAAAATTGTATTGTATGAATTGTCGTGTAGGTCTGTTGGACGATTATGACGCTCTTGTGTCGACAGCAATACAGATTTCAGAATTAATGAAGCCATTGAAAGAATACCTCTTCAAATTTAATTTGACATGGGACTGTTTCATCAAAAAACTATATCAGATTTACGTTTACAATGATCCTTTAGTGCAGAATAATTTACCCACGTTTATCGGCCAGGTAAAATTACACATGTTTGGTCAAAGATGTTGGTAGAACAATTTGTAACCTGCCAAGTCCTAATATAAACGCTTGCATTCGCAGCTGAGAAAACTTTTGCCGTTGAAAGATACAAAATACCAAGGTCTTGTTCATAGATATTTATCTTTCGACGACGAAATGACAAGAATCGGGAATTTATGGCCTGAAACGGAACCATGGATGGATAAATATAAGTAAGTTAAAGGACATCATTCCGCTTGCGTTATTACACAACTACATTGGACGTTTCGCACGGAAATATCGCGGATTATTGAGGTAAGGTTATATGAACAAAGTGTTTTTCAGTGCAGAGCAAGCTGTTCGAATGACAAGACTTAGGCAGATTAGAGAAGCCTGGGAATTGTTTTCAGCAACACGTAAACTTATGGAACATAACATGTTAAACAAAACGTCTGACATTGGAACGTAAGTTTTAACTTCTTATATATATTGTATTGATTATTGATTGTAAAGAAAGTGTATGCATATATACATATATATATATATATATTATATTGATTATTGATTATAAAGAAAGTGTAAATCGAACTTTTCCATAAATTAGAAAAACATAACAATTAAAACTTCAAATGTTTAAGTTTTTTGATAAAATCAAATATGCTTACACATACATAGTTTAATATATATATATATATTGTTAATTTATTTTCAGGATGAAGTTACTTAGAAATTAGTCACTAATCGGGATATTCGCTTTACCTTTTTCTAGTGATATTTCTTAATTACGATAAATTTTATTCTATTTTAGTGAAATGCAGGAAATCCATGGGCAGTTCTCGACACTTATTGCGCATACATCCGAAAACGACAGCCGCCCTTCAAGTCCTGTACTTGACTTCAATTCGGATTCTATAGCTATGCCTCCTAGTATAGAAATAGTTCAAATATTATTGGACGATTGGAATAAGGCGCAACATCAAAAACTAGCAGACATAGCTGGTGCGTTAACTGCTAGCGAAGTGGATGCTGTCGGGCAAAATGATTCCAATTGCTACGATTACACTCGTATAACATGTCACCTTGCGCAATATGCCATCAGGTCAGTTAGGTACGTATCTAAAATAAAATAAAATTACATTAAGAAAAAGTATTTAAAATCAAATGTTTAAAAACATGTGTGTGTATGTATATTTTTGTACATATATATTGTATGTATTTCGTAATAATTCTAACTCGACTTAGGACCAACAGTGACGATTCCAGCGGTTTGGAGAATGGAGTTGAGAATGGAAAAGAATGCGATTGTCACTCATGCAATGAAACGGAAGTAGACCATACGGTACGAAATTGCATTGTTTCTTTAAGTCATTTTCACGTCCGTTGGTTCATTAATTATGTACGATTAAGATATGTGTCTGATTATAGTAATAATGTTTCTTTCAAAAAAAGATTCTTTTCTATTCTTGTATTTCTAAATATATATTAAAGATAAGATAAAAATGTTCCGTTCAGATGATAATAATATTCAGAATATACATAAAAATAATGATAATTGGAAGAATTTTATAAAATAATCTTTATTAGTGAACCATTTATTGAAGGTAATTATATTAAAATTAGTAATTGACAATAATACCTTGTCGCAGGCTGCGCAACGCAAAATAGAAAATGCCACGAAGGAGAAGAATGCAAATTCTCCTCCACCTCTTAGCAACGGATTTCCAGGTAAACGATAAAACTGATGGATTAATAATAAATAAACAAACGACAAATATCGAAGAGATTAATGTCTTGTTTTCAGAAGAATCCGTGAACTGTACAGTGACGCAGATCAAGAAGCTAGACAGTCCCAATGACGAAGAAATGAAGAAGAAAGAGCCAAGCGTGCGCAATAAAGACACCGCCACGAAGACACCCGAACTGAAGCCTTGCTCTTGTGTTTACCAACACGCGAGAGAAATAGCGGAAAGAAAGAAGGAAATCCTGGAAAATCCGCCTTGCCCTTGTCTTCTGAACTCGAGGCGCAAATGGGACACGTGTCCTTGCTTGACCAAATGTAAATAAACAAACAATTATTTTATATCTTTCGTATTCCCACGATCGTTTTATGATAATATTATGTTTTTGAAAGCAGCTATACAGCCCGCAACGGTTCTGGCGAACGGCCGCTCCAAAACAATATCGCCTGCTTCTGTTACGAAGACCAATCCAGAGATGAGCCAGAAACCCGCGGTAAAGACCGGCTCTACGCAATCGGCGCAGACCCAGACGAGGCATTCCACTACGCAAACACCTAGCACGACTCACAATCACAACATGCATCAGGGTGAGTGCAGATGCTAGGTGGTCTCCTCACATGTCACCGTTACGTCGGTCAATCAATCCGCCTTTCTACTGTCATACGTGTCTTTACGTGTATATTCTTCACGTGAAAACAGGTACCATTCATCCGTTCCCTCCTGCTCCACTGACGGAACTGACGAAAAACACAGGTGCATCCTATCCCAGATTTTACATGTATAACAATCATACACCGCACGCATGCCACAGACAAGCCAATGTCGAGCACATCAAGAGAGTGTCGTGTAATGATTGTCAGTATATATGTACTGCATATGTCTAGCGAATTAGCGCGTCGCGGTTACCGTCACGTTCTAATCTGAAATTTCAGTGAGTTCTGGAGACGGCGACTGTTCGGACTCGGTGAGCAGCCAGGAAGACTCGTGTTCCACCAGTAGCTCAGCGCAGAGAGATGTGAATCGACACTGCGACTGCTGTTACTGCGAGGTCTTCGGCCACGGAGTTGTGAGTTCACTTCGCTCAATTTTCACTGGTTAACACCAGAACTATCGACGATTAAACGCATAGCGGCATATTTCTACAGAAGCGGTCGAAATGACAGGTTTTTGAAAAAAAAATATGCAAAGGCATGGCTATTTATTCATTACCATCAATTTTACTTAACGTCCACTAAAGGTGTGAAACGCATCGTTATATAATTTTGAGTGTTTTTTATAGAAAATTATAAATCAGTCACATTTGGCCGCTTGGTAGTTTTAGCGTCAAGCAGATGAGCGACTAATAGATGTGCTTTTCAGCCGTCGGTCGCGCCGGTAAGTCGAAACTATAATGAGATGCGGGAACGACTGCGGCAGCTGTTGACGAAGAAGAAAGCGAAGAAGTGCAAAGCTACCGGCTGTAGCCCACCGAAAAGCCCATCGGAATTGTCGCCTTCTAACGTCAATTCCGAATCTAAAGTCGCGGCAAGTTCCGTTCTCAGATCGAACACTCCAATTTCGACGGCGTCCACGGTTCAACAGGACCAACGGGATCAACGGAATTTGGAGGAATTGTTAGAATTTATCGAAGGCAATCAAAATAGCAAGAAGGATAATAACAAGAAGGCTGAAAAGAAAGCGAGACAGAAGCAGCGGAAGGTACGACTGTGTAAATTATGACAATGTGTAGCTCTCTATTCGGTTTGACATTGCATTAACATATTTCTCTTATTCTTTTGGCAGCTTGAGGAAAAGTTGAAGAAGGATAGACAAGAAGCTCAAAGACAAAAGTTGATAGAATTACAAAAGAAAACGCCTGAAGTAACGATCACCGTTGTCGATCCTAAGAAGCCTCCGCCTCGTCGATTTTTGCCCCAGTGTGGTTTACCGGAAGTTTCTATTCTGCCGACATCTTCGCGGGTGTCGTTGCCCGTGATAAAACAGTTGAACGACAAGAAGAAGGATAAGCAGGAAGTTTGTAGCGACAGTAACAGTAGCAACGGCTGTATTAGTATTAATCGTTTAAATACAAAGACAAAGACATCCTCCGCGAATTTAAATGCGAAAAACAAGAGTATTAACAGTACTGACAAGTGCGAAATACGAAGTACGAACTCCAACCAAGGAAATAAAAATAGCACGAAAAACGACAAAGTTGACTCCAACAATAAGGGGAGCAAGCAGCCTGTCGCGAACGTTAATGCCGTATGTGCGAAAAGCGCTTCTACCAATAATACAGACAAGTTATCCGACGTTGATTTACTCGACAAGAAGTTGACGAAGAAGGAAAGGAAAAAACTGAAGAAGGAAATGAAGAAGTTGGAGGAAGCGAAGGCGAAGGAGTCTGGAAACTCCGCACAAGCAGAGTCTCAGCCGCAGATAGTGACTATTAAGAGAGTACTCGAGTCGAACAGCGTCGAGCCGACGGTGACGATCACTTTGAAGGGTCAGACACCGGCCGAGGACAAAGTTTTATTCACACTGGTGAATGGACAAACCAAGGAACCTTCCAACAAAACGGAGCAAGAACAGAACCAAGGTAACGGCGGGAAGAAGAAGAAGGTGAAGGCGAATAATAACAACAATAACTCTCTGCAACAAGGAAATAAGTTGCAACAATCGAACAATTCGAAGCAAACGCAACAGACGACGAATAAGGCCGGCGATGGTAAGAATCTTAAGCAGCAAACGAATAACGAAAAGTCGAAGACCAGCAAGCAGCAGGCGGATGAGAAGAAAGCCCAACAACAGACCGTCAATGAGGCGAAAAATTCCAAGTCGAAGAAGGACAAGAAGAACACGGAAAACAAAGAGAACATGCTGCAGCAGCAGAACACGTTGAACAAGACCAAGAATCAGCAGAACGTCAATAACAAGAAGCAGAATAAGACGAATACGCCTCCTCAGACACCGGTATCGCAAAAGCAACAGCAGAATCATAACATTGCGAACGAATCCGCGACTGGTAAAAAGACGAAGAAGCAACAGCAGCAGCAGCAGCAGCAAGATAAGAATGCACAATCCAATTCCAGTAAAAGCAATAAAAATACTAATAACAATAGCGCCAACAAAGTAACAAATAAGAATGATTCTCAGAAAAATGTAAGTAAGATGAATCAAATTACCGTCAAGCAACGTTCGCCTATGGAAGTTCAAAACACGTGCTACGAACGGGTCAACTCACCGCTCAGCAGTCAATTCAAGGACATTGGTCCGAATTCCAAGATCGACATCGAGAACCTGAAGCTGCCGCCAGGCATCACGATCACGAAGGTGGATGCTCCAGCGAAACCGATTCCGATCAGACCCGCTCCCATGCCAAAGCCAGTGAACCCACCCAAGCAAACTACTATCATTGCTGCGCCGATGAGCGGCGTGCAGTCGAGTTACGCAAGCTCACAAGCTGGCGGAAACGTCATAGTGGTGGACACGGGGAAGCTGAAGCAGGACCTGCTTCCGAAGACCAATGAGAAAGGTGAGTCAAGATTCTAGTAGATAAATCGGACAGATGAAAGAAAGATGAAAAGAGAGCGAAAGTCTTGTTTCAGTGTTTATTTAATATAAGCTTGTCTTATTTAATTTGCAAACATGTTTAAATTTTCAAAGAAGATTCTTCTATTTCATTCCATTTAACGGTAATAATATTAACAAAAGATGTTTAAGCACACAGATAAAAGTATTATTCTGCTACTATGAGGAAGTAATTTATTTGGTTTACTTTCCTTCTTTTAATTTTTTTTTTTATAAAGAATATCTTGCTGATAGTTTCTTGAATTATACTCGTCACAAATTTTGGAAACGTTCACCATCATGTACTCGAAAGAAAAATTTATATTCTCTTTTCCAGAATTTATATTTATACTTAGAATATATATATTTAAAAATTATACTTAAAAATATTTAAACTTTTTAAGAAAATTTACACTTTATACGGGAAAATCAAATCGAATTTTTGTCTTAATTTAATATATTCTTGATTGAGGTACTAGATTTACTAGAATTCAAAATATATCTTGAATAGATTTGATGCTTGTGATAAACTTACGAATATATAAATTTATAAGGTACTTGAAAAACAAGTAACATTCACTTGAGCGCAGTATGTATTTTTCTGTGTGCAGATAAAAACAGTCTGCTTAAATTCTATGATGTTGTTTTAGATCCGCCAAAAGAAGCGCAAGTTCTGGCTACCACCAGCAGTAAGAAGAAGAAAAAGAAGAACAAGAATTCAGCGAATTCAGCGAACAACATGACGGCTTCTACGTCGCCGGTGCAAAGCAACGATGCGTTCGCGAGCGATCATAATGTAGTGGACGAGCCTGCCAGGATACTGCACAATCCTGGCACGAATATGGTGACTATAAGAAATCCGTCGTTCGGACCGATGAAAGTGCCGCCGACGCAACAAGCCGCCATCATAAAGGTCTCGGAGAACGGTATGGTGACGATCCGAAGCCCTGCTCTGCAGCAGGCGATCAACGCCGGCCTGACGTCCGCCCCCAGGCCGGATTACATCGTCAAGGGCGACATGTCGTCTAGCAACAGGATGTCGACGACGATGGCGTCCGACGTGACGAGCACGAACGTAAAACACGCGAACGGCGTCCTACCTTCAAGCCTGGCAGAGCTACGCAGCCGACTGACGCCGACCGACTGCGCCTCCTTGTCCGGGCTAGCCAATATTCAGATCAGCAAGGTAACGAACGGCCAACCGATCCCGGAGAACGGAATCAATCTGAAGGGCACCAGCGTGACCCTGACGAAGGTGAAGCCGGCCGACGCGACTATGGAGAACGTGAGACAGTCGAAGGGCGCAGCGAAGGAGGCGATGAGTGCCTCGATCACAGCTACCGGCAGCGGTGACGGTGGCAGTGCTGGCAGCTGTGGCAGCGGTGGTAGCGGTGGCGGAAAGAGCAAGAAAAAGAAAAAGCGCGGAGGCGGCGGAACGAGACAGTGCGGGGATGACTGGAACCTCGTTGGTGAGAAACAACAATAATCAGACTTTAACATGTAAATTTGCTTCCTTCATTTTGTTTGTTTTCTTTAATACGAACACAACAAACACATACACACACACACACACACACACATATTTATCCGAGTTGCATTTTATACTCCCAGTGCGACTTAAGCCCTCTTTTTAGAATATTAACAAAACAAAAGGAAAACTACCCATCTCTCTGGACACTCGTAGGTTCATCAGCGCATTGACAGCGACTTTTCCTTAAATTTCGCATCGTCAGGAGAAGGCACTGTTTATACGTTAGAACACGAAATCTCGTTTTCCATAGGTCGAGAGATTTCTCATATACCGGATACCTCCTCGAGAGAAAGAGATACACATGGAGAGAAGAGCGGCCGATGAGCGCTTTTATCTCGATTTTCTTTGTCGTGTTTCTCCCTGCGCTGAGGAGAGAGAAAGAGAGAAAGACGAAGCTCGCGTCTTTCGATCGCGCTTCTTCCCGTATCGGAAGGCGCTCTCCGCCTCCGAGTGCAATTCCTCATCGTGAGTATAGGGCAGGGTGTATATTCTGTAAATGTAAATATAAACCGATCGATCCGTCGGTTCCTTTTCTACTTGCGAATGCTGAGCGCAAGCAGCAGCAGTATAGTCTTGATTATTATCGTGGTCGCACGAATCGAAAAACAAGATGTGTATCGTATATTTCATGTATATGTTTTCCCGAACACGTTACTCTTCTTGAGAAGAGAATTTCGAAGGCGAATTCTGTGCGTGTCGTGAGTCGCTGATTCCGCGATTCGGATCGAAGATCGACGCAAACGAAAGGAGCTCTACCGTGGCAAGGTGGACTGTGTAGATTGTTTCGTTGACGCATTGACAGCGACATACACACACACACACACATACACAATACGTAGGAATCTCATTGTGATAATACACGACGATACATACATAAATGCGGACGATACACATTCGTAGTATACGATATTTTTTAATCTGCTGATGACATTAAATAAAAAGGAAAATTACTTTTTTTTCAATGTTATACTCTCTTTTCCTCCCTTTTGTCGCGCGCGATAAATATCTCAACTCTTCCCGTTTCTTCGCGAAACGCTGCATGGGTATATAGGTAGTCATTATTCTCTCACTCATTGCTCCTTCATTGCTATACTCTTCCTTCTTCTCTCCGTCGCTTCGACGTGTCGGAGACGTCGCAATTTCACCGTCTGTGCGACCCTCGCGGTACGTTTTCCGCATACACACGTCCCGAGCCGGTAACTTTTCTGATTCTCAGAGAAGATAGGATTCGCTTGATGCTGAAGATGCTTTGAAACGCCGTCTAGTCCGATCATTGTCTTTCTTCGAACGCTCCAAAGCGTCTGTGGTTATAAGTGAATCCCATCCTGAATCTTGTAAAATCAGGGCAAGATGCGACTCGCTCTCGTCGATATCATTTCGCGATATGTAAGAGAGTAAGAGAGAAGACAGGAACTCGTCCAGCTTGACGGGTTGTCATGGTCGCCGGTGATCACCTCGTAAAGCACCACTCACAAGTGTCGTTCAGTATTTCATTAGTTAGTAATATTTTCACAATTACTTCGCATTTCTTGTCAATTGCCGTTGCTACACGTGTGTATGTCGAAACGCATTCCGCGATTAAGCAAAACCTTTGTCGCACACACGGCTGTCTTTCACTCTTTCTCCGATCACTCCGCACACAGAAAAATATATGCCGCGTTTGAATAGATGTTACTTGCTTTCAGTATATCGCAGGTTTATACGTTCGCAAATCTGCCTCACGTAAGTTTATTATGAGCATCAAATTTACTTGAAGTACACTCTGAAAGTCCTAGAGTGTTTAATATTTTTTTGGTCAGGAATATTAAATTAATACAAAAATTAAATTTGCTTCTTCTACGTGGAGTATAAATAAATTCTTTCCGCTTGAGTATAAAATGATGAGCTTTTTAAGATTCGCGATGAGTAACATCAGACTATCATCAAGAGTATCTTCTTTGCTGAAGATAATCATCATTAAAAAAAAATGGAAATATGTTGAGTAATCGCTTCTCCCAGCAGTAGGATAATATTTTTCTCTGTGCACATTCTACCCACATCTACCCACATACAGTGTACCCACTCTCGGTGAAGGTTAAAGAAAAAAAAGAGAATGAGATAAACGAAAAAAAAGAGATAAAAACAACAATGAGAGAGTGAGAACGTAAGAGGAAAGAAATGCACAGCAGATTTTAGCATTCACCGTCGCGCCGCTGTCGTTATCTCCAGTATTCAGAGCGTGTCTTTTGCAGAGAGCGTATTCACGCCCAAAGATATAGAGGAGGAGATGGACGACGCTGAGAAGGAGCTGGAGGCTTTCAAGGCTTTCTGCCTGCAGTCGGTGCCGCCACCGCGCAAGGAGAAGGTCAATCTCAATCTCAAGGACATCGTGTTCAAGAAGAAATCCTCGTCGTCCTCATCGTCGTCTTCGTCGTCGTCGTCGTCATCGTCGTCGTCGTCGTCGTCGTTGTCATCGTCGTCGTCATCGTCGTCGTCGTCATCCTCCTCTTCCTCGTCGACGACGGCGACAGCGACGGGGCCGACGACCAACAACGTGACTGATCCGACCGACTGATCAATCAAATAATCTTGCGTCGTTGTCCAATCGCAGTGCACAACCAACTGCCAAGCTCGCGGTCCGACGTGCGCTCCGGGACGACTCGCGTCCACGTCAACGTCGATCTCACGCGCTCGTGAGAAGCTATAAGCACGACGTCCGCGTAGGCGGGAGTGCAGCGATTTTCTAGCGCGGGAATGGTAGGGAAAGAGGCTCCTCCGCGACGCGCATTGGGGAACGACGGCGAAGCGATCGTCGAAGAAGACGAGTAGAAAGAACGCGAATTCACACCGAGTGCGACTCGCGTTCTCGTCGGCTCGAATATCGTGTTCGTCGAGTGCGGACGATTCCTGCGACGCAGCGATTCGGCGATTACTGAAACGCGGAAACTCGGACGAGAGAGAGAGAGAGAGACGGGAATTCGGAGAGAGACGTGACGCGAATGGTCGCCGAGCGACGACGACGTCACTGTATATGTGTTATCGTTGAATTATAATTAGGAAACGAATTCCTATGTCGCGAATCGACGATAATTATGTTGATGATGATGATAAAGATGATAATGATGATAATGATAATGATAATGATAATGATAATGATAATCGCGATGAAATCCTCGTACGCCTGCATACACCGTTCCGCGACGGGATCGGTGGTATTTGTAAAAACGCTCGGCCATGCCGAGACATTATAAATAACGCATCTGTCAAGTTGTATAACTAATAACGAGTGTCGTCGTCACTTCATCGCGCGTATGGCGGCCAGAGAGCCTCGCACATCGCCGGTGGTTGACGAAGAGATGCGTCACTCGACACAATTATACGCGTGCGAAATATATATATATACATACACGTACATACACATACACATACACGTATACACAAATGCGCACGCACGCACGCACGCACGCACGCACGCACGCACGCACGCACGTACGCACGCATGCATGCATATGCTACGTGCGTTCATAGGCTGATAGATGTATACACGAACGAAAGAACTCACAAACACGATATACATAACATATACTCTGTCTCTCTTCTTTCCTTTATTTTCCAATAAAAGCAGATACGCGTTTCTACCTATTTAGAGCGTCTATATTACCTTCGTATGTGTCTCTCTGTATCTACATTCTCCTCGTACGAGTAGTCTATACTACTAGCGTAGTACACACACTTGAGCAGGTTTATATATATATATAATATTATATATATATATATATATATATATATATATACATAATTCAACAAATGTACGTCGCAATGTTTCTTATTGTACTGTAATTATTAAAATACTTTTTATACGGTAAACATACGAGACTGGGTGTGAGAGAAAGAAAGAGAAAGAGATAGGAGAGAGAGAGAGAGAGAGAGAGAGAGAGAGAGAGAGAGAGAGAGAGAGAGAGAGAGAGAGAGAGAGGAGATGGTCCACTGGTTCCTTCAGCGCTTATACATAAATTTATTCATCCCCCTGCTACTGCGAGAGGATCGATAGATTGTTTCGCGAGTATATACTTACGTATACATATATATATATTGCAGGCTTTCCGTGCCATCGCGTTTATCGTGCTTTATATCGGTTTATTTCTCCGCGGAAACTATAAGTATATTATTAATATCTGACTGTGCTGCGTGTGTAGAAGCGAAGGAGGCGGTTTAGTGCGAAATTGGAGAAGGGATAGGTGGGAAAGAGAAAGAGAGAAAAAAGAGTGGTTCTGTATCTCTTGAAAGCGATGAACCCTTGCAAAGTGAAAACAAATAACGTTCAAGTTTTATATTTGACGCAAAAGGGCACGGGTTTCCGCGTGTATCATTTCTAAGTGTCTCGTTTATTGACGTTCAAGCAACAATAATTACACTTATGAGCGATAATAGTTCTAACAACAAATAATCTCTATCGAAGTCACAAGTTATTATTATCTCGGTCGCATCCAGTCGCTAAATTTATCTCTTGTTTTCGCGCAAATTAGATAAATATATTTAGTGATTTATCATGCTCTTCCCGAAACGAAGATTAAAATCTCACTGGAACTTCCACGACTGCGACCTCCGATTCGCGCCGATCGTTACGTTTTTCCGTTTCACCGCGACGATACTTTCCGAGCGGAAAGAGTTGTATATAAAATTATATAAAATTATATACGACTCTTATGTGAATTTTGTCTCCGCATACGTATCACATATAATTACACATGTCCGCACGAAAAAAAAACGCAATTAAATGAAGAAAAGAAAAATAGTTTCGTTTAATTAAACTTCTACATCACAGACTGCCACGAATATAAGCAGTCGTTTTAATTGTATTTGTACAAGAGCATTCTTCTCCGTGCGGACACGTGTAATCGCGTATTATTATGTGATCATATAGAGACAAAGTTCATATGTAACTACATATGTTGTTTTGCCTCGGGTTGCGCGAACTTGCGAAAATCATGATTCGCGGCTGAACTCCGCGTACGAGTCTTAATCCTCGCTCCAAACACGAACATCTGCGCGTTTTCTGTCCGTCGAAAAGAATTAACAATCTAAACTCGCGCTGGTGTGCGGCGGGGAGAGTGTAACGGGCGTCATCGAGGACATCGATCGTTCGATAGACTGTATCGCCGGGCTGTGTTGCTTGATCAACATGTGCCGCAGCGATTGCGCCTCTTCACGAAGAGTCACTATCTGCGCCTTCAGGATCGCGTTCTCATGCTCCAACATCGTCGCCCTCAGTGCGATCTGCGACAGATGCATTTAGCGTCACGTTAAATTCAGCCTTGGAGGAATGCTACGAGGTCGGCCTGCCGTTCTCACGCGATCCTGCTTACGTGGTCCTCCCTGATTTTGCGAGCGTCTCGCGACTTTTTCGCCGCCTGGTTGTTTCGCTTACGTCTCTCGTAATACTTCTCATCTTTCTGCTCATCTGGAATCGGCTTCTTTTCGCTCCTAGGTCTCCGATGGAGGGTGGTTATGCCGCTCGTGGTGATGAAGTGCCGATTCATAGCGCCTGTTTCGCAGCCAGTAATAAAAAATACATGATTTTTGTTGTAAAAGGTGCAACTAGAAAGTCTCCTCTCGCAACGGAATTTCATGAGGTAAGACCAATTTTGCTTCTCTTTAATAAGGAAAAGATGCTTGCGTGCGTCAATTTCCAGAAGTTGCAACAACTGTCTTCGTTAAATTCGCCAAACGTTTCGTAGAAAGTATATTCGAATATTGAAATATTTATAGATCTATTGAGATCGTTAGATCAGTATTATGAGATATAAAATATTTTCAGGATACGTCGCACAGTTCAATCCCCCGCGTGTAATCAATTGTGCGTACAATTTGTGAACATAACTTATTCATACAAGACAAAAAAAACTGCCCCGGGTGAGGATCGAACTCACGACCTTAAGATTATGAGACTTACGCGCTGCCTACTGCGCTACCGAGGCAACTGACTACCGGTGATAATTTACAAGTCAAGAAGCATACGATTACACCTTCAAATAAATTTTCAATCTATCGAAAGATTTGAAATGAGATAATCGAACGACAATACAAGATGAAGATCAACCTACCTGTGGCGGGAGTGGAGAACGGTTGAGGCACGCTGAGTGATTGCATCAAGGGTGGCATCGTCGCTAGGAAGGGTGGTTGGAGCAGCGTTCCCGGAAGCGAAAACGTCGCCGACAAGGAGGACGACGTTAACGGTGAGGACGGGGAATCCGTGGCCACGGAATTCGTTAAAATATCGGGCTCGACAAAGCCGTAGTCTCGGCCGGGATAGGTCTCGTACCTGCACAGATCTGCGAATAGGTAGACGATAAAGCGTTACCGCAGATTTCACGTCGAAATTAATAAACGTGCGGTCGATCAGTGTACGCGTTCGTCTCATATTATTAAATTATAATTTGTTGACGGTGAAGGTACTATGAGTATAAACCCTAGCAACGTCGACTGCCCCTGTGGCCTAATGGATAAGGCATCGGTCTCCTAAACCGGGGATTGTGGGTTCGAGTCCCACCAGGGGTACATACAGATTTTTTGTATTTATTCATAAAAAAATGTACGAACTGATCGAAGCGCCAAGTTTTTATTTAGATTTTCATGAGAAAATTGAGACGCCGTCGTGAGAGCAATATTTTCTTTTCTCTATGGACAATGGTATCTCTCTCCATTGCTTTAAACAGATATCTCTTTCGCGTTATGCAAGGTCAGTATTTATATTCTACATGAATATAAAGTGCAATAATCTCCCTCATTTTTCGCCCTTGTTCTTTCTTATACGTTCTGCTGCATTTCACAAGCGAAGCATTTGCGCTCCGTTCTTTCTCTCTCCCGCTCTCCCTGCGATTAATTAGCCTCGTACGAGAGAGTCAGTTCGTTAAGTCGCTTGATCGATGGAAAATTTATCTGACACTTGGAAATTTTGCCCGTGAGAGTTGAAACTTTTACTTCCGGCTCGGGGCTGTGTGTGCTACGTGTGTGCATGCGACCGCACGCTGCCACGTACCGACGATGATGAAACATCGGCGCCCGAATGTCGTGATAATGCGACGACCGGCCGTCGTTCGTGTGCGAAATCGTGCGAACATTCGCGTCCGTGCAAATTGCGACTGTTACAGTCGGGTCGTAAAATACGCGACGTTAACTGCTCAAGCGGCAGTTACAATTTTAAGGAACGGGACCGATGTGTAATGGCGATGCTACGAATGAGGTAGCCGCCTGTAACGAGAAATGCGCTTGCAAAAATCAAACAGACGCGATTTCCCGGACAAATCGTACGGGACGTACTCGTACGGGATGTCTCGACATTAAGAAAGAGAAAAAGATATAGCTATGTTAACAACGGTACATATATTTATAGTGACTTGTAAAACGATTGGCAGGTAGTTCATATCAAATAGTTCGACGTTAGTTTATATATATGGTGAGGAAAAAGTCCCGGTCCGGTAAAATATCTGGAAAACCAAGCGTTTTAGAAAAAAATGTTTCGAACAAAAGTTGTATGATTTCAAGGGAGACATAAAACAACTATATCATTATGTTTACAAATGGCACCATTTTCGAGATATTCATTGATCATTACTTTTCTTAAATGGAAGCTCCAACTTTTTATTACACTGTCTTTTTCTACCAATTAATTTAAATAGTTTTTGTCTGAAACATTTTTTTATTTGCCTAATATTTTTTGAGATATTGAAGGAAAACTTGATAACTTTTTCAATATTTAACTTGCGATATCTCACTAACTATTTGTCGAAAGAAACAGTAGTACTAGACTTTTTTGCTCTATTTAATCTCAAGAATATGTTGTTACAACAGCGCCCTGACTTTAAGTAACTTACTGACTTTTGGAAATTTCGAAATCATCAAATTAACAAAAGTCAGGACGCTGTTGTAAAAATATATATGCTTGAGACCAAATAGAGCAAAAAAGTCTAGTACCACTTTTTCTCTCGACAAATAGTTAGCGAGATATCGCAAGTTAAATATTGAAAAAGTTGTCAAGTTTTCCTTAAATATCTCAAAAAATATTAGGCAAATAAAAAAATGTTTCAAACAAAAGTTGTTTAAATTAATTGGTGGAAAAATGGCGGTTTCCATTTAAAAAATGATCAGTGAATATCTCGAAAATGGTGCCATTTGTAAACATAATGATATAGTTGTTTTATGTCTCCCTTGAAATCATACAACTTTTGTTCGAAACATTTTTTTCTAAAACGCTTGGTTTTCGAGATATTTTACCAGTCCGAGACTTTTTCCTCACCCTGTATAAGCAGTTAAATAGTTAAAATAGGTTAGTAAAATTTTGATTGATGAAAAGGTGTGATTACGTAAGCAATTTTTTTTTCCATAAAAATTATAATACGAGCTATGAATTGTTATTACAAGAATCAAATCATCGCACACAAATAGTCTTTTGGTATTTATTACTGGCAGGAAAATTTCATAATAGATTTTAAATATTCGCGTTTTTATCGATATGTATATATAGGTGTAAATTGATTTAATAATTTTTATAATGACAAACGTGCATTACTGGGTACGAAAGAAGCAGAGATTTGTTAATTGAAGAAAAAAAAATACCCCCACCGTGACAATGTTCTCACATTGCCGTGACCAGGATTCGAACCTGGGTTACTACGGCCACAACGTAGGGTCCTAACCACTAGACGATCACGGCTACTGGGAGAGTTGAGAATCGACTGGAAACATTGATAGATCCAGGCAGACATTGATCGACTTGCTCATTTATGCATAACGAGAACGAACAAGTTGTTGATACCTCTGGCGTATGTGTGTGTGGTGTATATATGTGTGTGAATTCCTTATGGCTTAAAATTCACACGGGAAAGTGCACATCGTGCAGACCGTAGCTCGATATTACCGACTAAGCATTTATTTAATGATAACTGAACTTTCAGTTAGTGCGTTAATTTTTTGCAATATTGGTCTGTGTTTGTCGGTGCTCTTTTTTCAAGTGTCCTAAATCAAAGAGCAGATTTCCAAATTGTTTCAACTTGAACTTTTAATAGCAATATTAATTATATATATTTAGAAATTTTAATATATTAATATATATATATATATATATATATATTTAGATAATATATTAATATATATTTAGAAATTTTTGTATACTTGATGTATTTTTATTTTTATGGGTATTTTGTTAATATCTGTTGATTTGCACTGGAGAAGAGAGATGAATACTATCAAATCCATCAACAATCGAACAAGTCAGTCTTAACAATTTCAAATTGAGAGACTCGGCAAGATTCTTCGCTGATGGAATTGAACACACGAATTTGGCAAGAGGCATCGACTTGTAGTTGTGTTTACCGCCGAATGTCATCACCTCCTCGGCAATAAATTCTAACGAGACACTGACTCGTTAGAATCTTTCACGTTTACGTTCTCGTGCTATTCGTGGCAGTCATCGTGTTTGTCTCGGTTATTTTCTTAAGAACCCTATTCCCGACCGAAACAAAGCAACAAGCTCGCAAAGAGCATCGAAGAGTCCGCAAACAAGACGAAAAATCTCGACAGACGTGACTCTTAGGCGTCAACTTTTCTCTCCCCCCCCCGTTCCCCTTTCTCTCTCTTCTTTCCTCGCAGTCGAAAGAACTACTCTACGCACCTGAGTTCGGGGCGAAGAGGCTGCAACTCCGCAAGAGATGCAACGCGGAGAACGCGCCGGAGACCGCGTTGCCGGCGCACATGGTCCTCGCATGAGCGTGCGAACTCATCTCTCGGCAAGGATATTCCTCGGTCCTCGGAGTCAAGATATTATTATTTTAGTCTCGCGCATCCCTCCGGTTGCACGGTGAACTCTTGATCGCCGAGGAGAGTCTAAACATCACGTCGTGACGCATCAGATCGCCATGCACTGGCCGCGCAAAACATCGAACGCGACAGTGTCCTCGGGACCCCGATCAAACCCCAGGAGTCGTCTCAGGCATAGGTGGTACCGCGATTGACGACAACGCGTCTTTCGTTAAACAAGGAAACCATCATTCCTCCAATCCGCCAACGATAGTCTGCTCCCTCAGTCCGCCGCAGAGAGAAAACATGTGGTTTCTCCCGCTCCCTTTACTCATCGACCTTCGTCCTCGTTATCCCGAGCAAGCTCCGGGTCGCTTCGAGCTTCGGGCTTGCACCAGACGACTCCAGGTCTCTCTTCATCGCTCGTAGGACTCGTAGGACTCGTCGCTCGGACGACGCCGCGAATTCACGGAGAGCTTCGTGCTTGAAAGCTCAGGATATCGGTCTCGCTTCCGCTCCGCGAAGGGCTCGTGTGGAAGGACTCGCCGCGGGCCATTCGCGAGAACTCGAATTCGTCCGTTCGCGGACGGCACTCGCGTTCGATTCACCGCCGCCGCTGCTGCGGCGATCGCGCGCGACTCGGCGAGAGATTACCTGGCGCGATGATGTGCCGCGTCACACGTTGCAACATCGCGAGCACGTTCGCGCGAAGGCCACTCGATTCGTCAGGTCGACGAATATCCCGCCTTCGGGAACATGCGCACAGACTGTGCGTCGGTTGATTCGCCGCTTTGTCGTTCGCCGCGGCCAGTCAGACGCTGCTTTGTCTTATCAATCGCCGAGAAAGAGAGAGCGGGGTACGGGCGCGGCGCGGCGGCCCGACCAATCGTCCAACCTGTCGCCCCCGCGATCCTCCGTCGTCAGCAGGTCGATCTGCAATCCGCGGGTCATAATAGGTCGCGTGAATATCGCCGGTAATGTGCGAAAGCGGGCATCGAGTAGATAACCCAACGACAAGGCCTCTATAACGCTCTCTCGCTCTCGCGGCACGATACCGATGAATATTAATGCGCTGGAATTTATTTCAGCGTCGCTCCAACACCGAAGGGTTGAAGATCGAGGGGGCGGGGGAGCGTTCGGAACGAACTGAGCCGATGATTCGCGAGAGCCGGTTTAGCCATGAGTCGCGTCTGATCATCTGGTGGAGATTGCTCATCACATAGTTGTTATGCTAGATTATTATGTGATTATTATAGTGGATTGCAGGTAGAGATAGCGTAATATCGTGGATCTTGTTTAGAATATTACGATACATTACGGCACATAGTTTCATTATTTGCAACGCACAAGGTTGAGATGCTTTAATGACGCAAGTCACTAAAGGAATCATCTTGTCTCTGTTGGTCAGTGAATATGGAATAAAGACGGGGGGAGGGGAATACTTGCGTAGTTGAATAGAAAGCATCCATTACGTTGTGCAGGTGGTGCAGGTAGAAGTCGTATGAACGACACACGTCTGCATCCAAATAGACAAATTAAATCCATCATTCGCTAGATTCGAGCGCAGACTCGTCATTCGCAGGCTCGCGGAACCTCGCGAGTTACGAGCTCGTAACTCGTCGCCGCGGAAGAATAACGACCGGTCCCGGTAATTTCAAGTAACCACAGAGATTTCGATCTCTGCCGATCATTATGCCGGTGTTATCTGCGCCTCGCGTGGTTCATCGCTCGGCGGTACACATCGCGACCTCGATGACTGATCGCCGCGGCGCTTCTACGCGCGTATCCGCGCCCTCGATCTGTAATTCTTATGACACGTACAATTTTTTAAGTCACTTGTCACTCGTTCTTCGTCGCGCGGCTGACAGGAGGAACAAAAGGAAAGCGGAAGGACGAGCGCGTTTGTCACAATCCTAGGACGAGTCCTTCGTCGACGCACAGAGGACAAGAAGTGGCGTGCGCGCAAAAAGTGCTGTTTTGTCAGTAGAATTGATGCGGTGATATTTTGTTGAAACTAATACCGGGCCTATTAAAACAATGCTGTATGGGTCTCAATAATATCGTTATCGAATCGCGAGGAATTACTCCAATTATAGCGCGGTTGAATAATTTTATTGATACGACAGACGCGCGTAAGACGTAGACTGAACTCCATCTTAGGCTGCGAAGATTCAAGGAAGTAGAAGAGGACGCTGTTTTAAACAACGATAAATTCAGTTCCAAAAGTTCCAAACGTCTCGAGCAAAAAATTGTTAGGGTCATCCTCATGAAGCATAAGGCCCCGATAAGACTGAAAGTATAAAAGTAGAAAGTAACCTTAAAAGGGATGCCTCATTATTGCCATGTCAGGCCCCGAGATGGATCTTTTAGGGATACCCTAGATTTTACGAAATAAAACTTTGATAAGCAAAACTGATGATGAGGATCTTAAAAGGATTTATTAGGGATGCTTTAGATATTACGAAATAACGCTTTAACAAGGAAGACTGACGTGGGCCTTAGAAGGATCTTTTAGGAGGATGCTGTAGATATACAAAATCAAATTTTGTTATAGAAAATTAATATTGATTAATAAGATCTGAAACGTGTAATAAAATTGTCATAGTTAAGTATTGTTTTAGCAGGTACATTCTATCTGGTTCTTTTAAAGATTTTTTAATTATACCGCAATTAAAAACAAATTTTATTAGTTTTATCAGTTGCCATATTTATTAGTCTCTTCCAAGGAATTTTCTAGTATTGCCTTCGTTTCGAAATGCATCAAACTTTAATAAAAACAGTAGCAGGATTTTTATGTGTAAAGAATGCTATATTTTATTGTAAAATATGCTACATTTTTAAAATAAAAAATTCTTATTGTATACTAACAAGATTATAAAGAAATGAAGAAATTACGGTCTAAATTTCTTGGAATAAAAAGAACGAATATTTTTACTCAAGCAATAATAAAAAGATTTCCTTATAAGGCCCTAATATAATATTAATATTAGCCTTATAAGTTAACCCCGTTAAACCATTTGTTACACATCTCGTAGGATTTTTGTATTTCTATCCCTACTAGGGCCCGATTAATATTAGAGAAAAATAATCAGGCTCTTACTGCAGTCCTATGAATTTTCCTACTCGGGATGTGCCATCGTGGTTCTCTGGACAAACTTGGTTCGCCCGCGGCCGCGAAGAGGCAAGCAGCCAAGGAGGCTGGCGTCTTTCGCGAAGCGAAGAGCCGCGCGAAAAAGCGCGAGGTCGAAGGCGAGCTGCATGTTTGATCGAATCGTTACGGAAATTCAGAAAGTTCCGTCCGAGTGGGCGCGCGCGAGTTAAGCGCGGGAATTCTTCGCTCGGCCGTTCTATTTTCGGGAATTACGATCTTCTCCTTCGTCCTTCTGGGAGACTCGGGGCCGCGCTGCAGCTGTGCCGCGAGCACGGTCTTGAAGCCGCGTTCGGGGAAAAGCAGGAAGCGAACGGAGAATCCGCTGTTGAGTGATTCTATTGATATACGATTGAGACTGAAGGCTTCACGTAAGGCTCAACAAGGCGAAAATTCAACTTCAAGAAAAGCTTATGGAAAAGAAAAGATTGTGGAAACAGAAAGTTTCCAGCAGGAGGCTCCCAAGTTGGGCGTTCTCAATGATGCCAAGCGAATTTCGGCACAGCTGAACGTCCAGACGAATTCTTTCGTTCATGCTGACAGAGATCTATCATCCCTCCTAACCCGGAGTTTTCATCCTGTCGCAGGACGATCTCCTTCCGCGCGTCGCGCGCCTCCTCCTCCGCTCGCGGCGCCCCTCGCACCGGGCGCCACCGGGTATACGCGTACGTGCCTCCTCTAATGTGCCTCTGGGACAGTCAGCACCTGACACTTTTCACGTTACCTACGAATGTTTAATGCGCCGCCGGTAATTATTATGAAGCAAATTAGCCGGCGGCGTGCTGTATTAGATCCCACCGCTTGCCGAGCCCCCGCAGCCAACCCTGCCGGCGCTCTCATTAATGTTGCAGCTCCTTCGTCCCTGTAATTATCCTCCAGCCCCGCGATTAACGATCAAGAGATCGATTACCCTCGCGTCATCGCGATCACTGCGTCACCGCGGACCGGATACGCCGCGACGCGCGTCCTTTGACCTTCCCTTCGCCGGCTCTTCGTCCGCGTCGCGTCTCGCTCGCGATTGCGACGAGGAGCGCGAGTACCTCCGCTCCCTCGTCGAGATGAAAACGACGAATTTTCCCTCGTGTTTTTTTTTTTTTATTGATATTAGCTAAGGGTTAGGCTCCCCGAGAGACCAGCTTTAAGAACGGCGAGAGGACTCGCTGTTTATCGTTTCTCCGGCACGTCGAGACTCTTCCCGCTTCGAACGGATTGTTATTGACGACTACGACGCGAAAAGGGGTCGGGGATGATGAGCGACCGCGCACCTGTTCGCCGTACAATGTCGCAGGCCCATATAAATTTAACTTCTGCCCGTGGGGGCACGCACAGTCCGGGTTAAATAACGTCATTTAGTATCGTAATATCTAATTTACTGCAGAGGAGGGCGATTGAGCCTCGACAAGGGCCGGGGAAGAGAGGAGGAGAGAGAGAGAGAGAGAGAGAGAGAGAGAGAGAGAGAGAGAGAGGCAGCAGCACGTGGTCGCGGTCCCACGACGCCGCAATTACAGGCGCCTTCGAAACAATCGTGTGTCCCTTCGGCGGAGTTCAGCGCGCGCGAGGAGATTAAACGCGCGTCCGAGTGATACCGCGTTACTCCGTGCCGTACGTGTGAAAGCTCTCTCTTTTTCTTTTTATTGCACGAGCGAGATACGCGAGGGTTGTCGTGAGGAGCCGCGCGCGCGCTCGATAGATCGCGTTACTCGATGAAACCTGAATTAAAAAAGGGAACGGAGAGGAAGGATCTTTTGAATTATTGCGCTTTTCAGTGATTCGGAGAAATGATAAAAATTAAATTTTGTGGAATCACATATAGATGTTGTACGTGTATATTAATACACTGCTCGAAAGAATTATGGCATAGATAATTTATTGCCGAAAATTGGCCAGCTTTGACTGGCGATTACTTCGCGAAAAATTATTGTATATATATATATATATATATTGTATTATAAAATATTATAAAAAACCTCAAGACGTTTGGCTTTCTTTGAAATAAAAAACAAAAGGAAGAAGAAAACGAGACGGTGTTTTGCGCTGCGTTGCATGATTCGCTGGAACTTTTAATGAAAAACAGAAAATTGGATGGACGATCTTAAATCCTCAGTGACTCGGCGAAAGATTATGAAAATTACATATTTTTAAAATAATATATCGATATTAATACAACTACATAAATACTTTATAAAACATTGCAAAAAAATACCGAAGCGTCTGGTTCTCTTTCCAGGAAAGGCGAGGAACAAGATGCTGTTATCGTTGTAGTCTTCGATCTCGCGTGTCTTGGCGACATGGCGAGTTGTCACTTCCCCGCGCGTTTTCACATTTTCACATAAATTCCCATTTTCCACGCTGCTTTTTGTCGCCGGACACTCTATCGTGGAACTCTCTGGGCGGACCTCGAGAGAATTCGCGCGT